GAACCAACAGATCTGTTTTCATTGCATTTCCTTCCATGTACCTAAAATTCTAAGCTGTCATTGAACTGCTGATTCCTGATTATTATTATTTTTTTACTGCAAGGAGAAAAACATAAAACAAAACGATAACCAGGAATGGATTTACCTTAAGCAAAGAATGCTGAGTGCTTTAGCTTCTTCAACCAGAGTGGCGGAAGCTGATATGTTTTTTCATTAGCCTCATCTCCACCTTGGAGACGCCAAAGCTTTTCACAAGATTTTCAACATAGTGAATCTGTTCTCGTCTTTGTCTTGACAACATGTTGCCTTCCAAAGCGAAACAGCTAAGATCTCCAACCTGGAACGAGCAGTTAAAATGAAGAAGAATTCATTCTTATATTAAAAGTTCAGCTTTCCCTTGTGATGGTTTGTGCCTAATCCTGATTACAGTAGTTTATTAACATAGTGGTCTTCCTAAATGATAGCAAGCTGATCAGAACTTTAGGGCATTTTTAATAGCATGTCCCTCATCTCAAGGTAAAAATAAAGAAGAAGAGAAACACATAATCCCCTGAGATTAATTACCACATAAACAATTTGTTGATGAAGTTCTCTTGTAAAGAAAAGAAAGGAAGAGTGTTTCCAGCTTGTGAGAAGAGATGAGTGAATATTCCCAGTTTTTTGTATTTCTGTAACACTAGATCTGTTAATCAACTGTCCAGCTCCCATACAGATGATGAAAATTATCAGTCTTCCTCCACACAACTAGATAGTACATGCAGACAGTCTTGTGACCAAGGATGCTTTTGATATTTCAATTCTTGCTATTTGGACTGGATGATTCTTATTTTGGGATAGGATCAAGCCAACTTTTTCAATCCAGTCCCAGAGCAGTGTATTTGGGACCAGAGACCTTAATGGAAAATCCATTCTGCATTTTCTTTGCAACTCTTCTTGATCTCTAGTGTATTTCAATGGAGCCCATGCAAGTCAATTGGCATTTCTAGCTCCCATTATTTCCAATGGGCCTTCAAGTCTCTCCCATTGTTTCCAATGGGCAATCCTGTCCTTCCTTTCAGTACATCTCCGGTCAGGCAGCTGCACCGTTATTGCCTGCTGTCCAGCAGTGGGGGGGGTGCACCAGAGGGAGTGCAATCTTCCGGTCAGGCAGCTGCACCGTTTGCCTGCTGTCCAGCAGTGGGGGGGGTGCACCAGAGGGAGTGCAATCTGCACAGCCTTCTGCCATGGAATGTGCTCACTCACCAGCTGCCTGGCCTGCACACCAATCCTGGGTCAGGGGCAGTTACAGCTCTGCAGTGGGAGTGCAAATCAGTGACACACACACACACACACACACAGAGAGAGAGAGAGAGAGAGAGAGAGAGAGAGAGAGAGATTCTTGGCTGGATCCAGCCCAGATTTTTGCTTCTGCCAAGGTTTTCCCAACTCATTAAGGA